AGTTGAGGTGTGGGGGAGTCACCCCCGTATAGATCTATACACAAACTCTCATTCTCCCTCCAGGACACTTTGATTATAACTACAGACTACGACCGATAAACGTTGGTTTCACCCGTTATTGCTCACTAAATCCCAAATTGACTTTGATTACTATTGTTTATGGACCTGTATTTGTTTACTTTGAAAACACATAATCCTAACAAATGAGAAGAAGAGGAAATACAAAGCCCTGCTACCTTCATGAGTTATTTTAGGTTGTTGCGTATACGAAGGACACGTTGGCCCATTTTGTATTTGACTACTTGGACCTTACTAGTAATGCTAATGGGCCACTAAGGCTCAATAACACTTCGAAGCCATTGAGGGTCCCTTCAATATGAAATCGGGTCATAGAAGGTCCAATAACATTTATAATTACCTATTGGGCCCAAAAATCATGTTAATGGGTCACAAAGGCCCAATAAGCATGTTTGGAACTTTCAAGCCCAAAGAATTTATTGTTTACTTGTTTTGGGTATAGTATAGTTGTCGGAATGTTTAATTGAACTGTTAAATTTGTATCGATACGAGACCGATATTCGAAATTTATGTATATTCATCTTGCCATTTTTCATAAGTTGTGGTTTGGTATTTTTGACCCAAGTATGTTAATAATAAAATAGTTGACTCAAAATATTGGTTTGACTATTTCAGCCCTTCTTGGATAAAAATGACAATTTTCGCCCCTCATATATATATATATATATATATATATATATATATATATTGTCATTTTTGACCCTTTTATATATATATATATATATATATATATATATATATATATATATATATATATATATAAAGACATTTTAGGCCCTAAAACCATTTTATTGTCATTTTTGACCCATAGACTTTGTTTAAGTGGTGGTTTTAGCTCAAAATTTACTTTTATCGGTTTCAGCCCTTCCAGAAAAGTATTTTACGACTAAAGTCCAAACTTTTTGCAACTTTTACAATTTTGACCCAAAATCCAAAAACTTAGCATTTTAACCCCTGAAATGATTTTGTTTACCCTTTTTATCCCCTGTTTTGAGAAAATTTTCAGTTTAGCCCTTTGAAAATCGGATTTTTCGCAACCTTGGGCTTAATGGGCCAAAAAGCCCAAAAATTAGCCCATTGAGCTATTATTTACATTTCAAGTCCTTTGAAGATCATTATTGTCACAAAAACGTTTATTTTAACTGTTTTGACTATTTTGACCTTTAAGAAAACCGTGAATAGCAACTTTTCACCCAACTTTTGTTTATTTGAGAATTTAAGCCCAAAAATCAGTTTTATGTTGCAATGTTTTTATAATAATCTTAGAGATTAATATTTTGACTTGTTTAGTGTAATATAACTTGGATCATGTTTGATTTTCTTCTTATAGCATAGATTTCGAGATTTCTACTCTTTTTGTTGCATACTTACCACATAAACACATACATGCATAAAATCATACATAGCATACACATAGACATATATCTACACATTTTTCTTGTATTCTCACCCATAAAACTAGTAAAAACCGACAAAGAGGGGTATGAACTCACCTTTGCTTGTTGTTTTTGATTTAGAAAGAAAAAATGAAGAAAACATGGTCCTAGCAAGCCTTCTTGGAAGATCTCGAACTTAGATGTGTTCTAAGATGTAAGATCACAAGTTTGAATTGATTAGGAGGAGGTTTTTGATGAAATGAAGTAGTTAGATCATAGATTTAAACATCAACTTACATTAGATGATGATTTTTGTGAAATAATCTCCTTGAAAAGCTCTTAAATCTCGAGAATTTGATGAAGAAAAGTGAGGATATTCTTGAGAGAGTTTGTTTTAAAATTGGATGAAATGTGTGTGTGGGTGTGTGTCTTCAGCTGAGAGAAAAAGAGAGAGGAGAAGAGAGAGTGTTGATGAGATGGTTACTTGGAAACATGGGTACGTCAAGCACCCCAGAATGGTTTGACCTGGGTAAGTCAGACACCCCAAAATTGTCTGACAATATATTATGTTATGTTATGTGATTATGTGGTAGTAGTAGGGGTGAAATAGACCGACGGGTACGTCAAGCACCCCAGAATGGCTTGACCTGGGTACGTCAAACACCCGATAATGGTTTGACCTGGGAAGTCAGGCGGCCCAGAATTGCCAGACAATATATTGTATGGTATGTGGTGTTATGGGGGAACTCACTAAGCTTCATGCTTACAGTTTTCAGTTTTGTTTCAGGTACCTCTTCAGCAAAGGGGAAAGAGTGGCGCAGTAGCTGCACATCATACACACACCCCATATTCTACACTATGAGTTTCCTTGGGATTGTACTCTGACATTACCACTATTTTATGATTTGGATTTTCAGACATTATACATAGTTTTATGAGATGTTATGATTTGTCAATGTTTTTCCTACGAATGTTTGAATTAAAGTAATTTATAAAAATGAAATTTTTGGATGTGAAAATTGGGTTGTTACAGATTGGATGGATGTTTTTGATGTTGAGATACTTTGTCTTCACTAGCAAGTTTGGGTCAGGACCCCAAGCGGGGGGTGTTATTAGTCTGGGGGGACATAGCTAGATAAAGCCCAACAATATGTTCTGCAGCAACAGCAAGGAGGTACTTGCAATATGGAAGTATTGGGTACTTGGCGTATGTAGTAGATATGCGGATGGAAGAAGAGAAGAAGTAGGGCGTTGATGTACCGATTATGCGAGAAGTTTTGGATGTATTTCCCAAGGACCTACCAGGGATGCCTCCTGAACGACATGTGGAGTTTCACATTGACTTGGTAATGGGTACTGCACCGATGGTCTAGATTTGTGCATTCTGACACACAATAGTTAGTAAAAACAAAATAACTTAAACATATATATATATATATATATATATATACATACATACATACATACATACATACATACATACATACATATAGGGGATATGGAATATGCATTACATCCCTACCTAAACTTAGGTACTAAACCAGTAAAATATATCGTTTTAACTTGCTAAATATACCCGGTTTGGTTTCACTTAGTAAATATATCATCCTCCATAACATTTCTTTCTTTCATTATTGTTTTACAATCTCTATTTTCTTTCCTCCATTATCTTTTATTACTTCACCCAAATGAACTTTAGTAAACCCTAAACCCTAAACCTAAACCCTAAACCTTAAACCTAAACTCTAAACCCTAAACCCTAAACCCTAAACCCTAAACCATATTGTGTCGATCTTGAATTTACATCTTCAAGTATTAATCGTGAATCCATAACCGTAATCTTTATATAGTAAAACAATGTATTTTCAAGAGGTTTAATACTTAAGTTTAGGTGGGGCTGTAATGTATATTCCCTTTTCATATATATATATATATATATATATATATATATATATATATATATTATATATATATATATATTATAATATATATATATATATATAATATATATATATATATACCTTTTTGTAATTTTACAATTATCAATAGCATTACATCATTTTATTGGGACACTTTTTTTTTTATAGTTTTTCTCAAAAGGCCGCTAGATATAAATACAATTTCTACATAAGGAATATTTTTGTAATTTTCTTTAATATAAAGACCATAAGAAAATTTTGTAGACCATTCGTTACTTTTCATATGTAGAGAAAATTATATAATTTTTCCTTGACCATTTTTGTAATTTTCTTTTAAAAAAAAAAAGGAACATTTCTATTGTTTTTTTAAACAAAAGGACTGTTACATAAGTTGGTAATTTTTTCATATATGTAGTAATTGAGAATTTTAATGAAGAGAAATCTTCGGAAAAATCTTAATATTTCACCATTATTTACGAAAATCATAATTACCAATAAAAATGATGATATAACATTTTTTCGGTTTATCGGTTTTAATACTTACCCAGTTTCATTAAAGTTTCATTATTTTACAATAATTTCATTAGAGTTTCATTATTTTACCATAATTTAGGATATATTCATAAATTATAGTAAAATAATGAGAATTTAATAAAACCGAGTAAATAATGAAATCGTTAAACCCGGAAAAATGGGTGAAGTCGTTATTTTTATCGGGAATTGAGATTTTTTGTAAACAAATTTTAGTTTGAGATATTTTCGTAAATTAGGATAAAATATTAGGATTTTGTTGGAGATTTCCCTTTAAAGAATTATAATAAGGCTTCTCGGAAAAGACGTTGTAAAGAAAAACCAAAATTAGGATAAATTCATAACAACTTTCTAAAAATTGAGCAAAAATGATAATTTTTGAATTAAATTTGTAATAAAATTTAAAATATAGACAAAAAGTATAAAATTTATAGCAAATTTATAATAAAATTTGAAATATAAGTTAAAAATGTAATTTTTGAAAGTTGAATGACTTATTATCAGATAAACCTTTTATCCGATCAATAAGTCATTCAACTTTCGTAAAAGTGTAAAAAAATAAAAGTGTTAAATTGAATATGTGATTGTAAAAAATCAAAGTGTTAAATTGAATAGTTAAAGAATTTATTACTCAAATCGCTTATGGTATGAATATGTAAAGAATTTATTACTCAAAGAGTCAAAACCAAAGGAAACCACAATTCACTCACTTCGGACTGCTGAATAGTAAACCCTAATTCGCAATTCTTCCACATTTTACCTCGACGGATAAACTACTTGGTTCGTCCCGACTGTAAGATGGGTAAGTTTCTTCTTCATAAACCTCCGTATTTTTTATTCTTTGTAAGTCGCGTGTCAAAGAGATTTCATTTGAATTATGTTGGTAGGATTTCTTCTGTTCATTCCAGTTGGAAACGTAATCTCTGTTTTTGGTTAGTCGTTGTCTATCATTATGTGATCATGTAAGTTGTTTTAAGTTAGTTTTTGCCAGGGGAAGCCATTGATGCAACCAAAAGCTTGAGGATACATCAAACTCGAACCAAAAAGGAATCGTTTCCTTTTACACATAATCTGTCTCACTCTAGGGTTTCGTGCCATGGGTGACACTATTTCACAAGGTGAGCTTATTGTTCCATGTTTCTTATTGCCTTCCATTTTCTTTTAAATAACTTGGTCCCTTTTTTATTTTTTATTATTTTTTTTTTTCTGAATCTAACAACAGAGAAAAATAAAAGGAGGGTTGTCACTTGTGCTAAAGAGGATATAATCAGTAACTTGCCTGAACACTTAATAGACTCAATCTTAGAGCGGGTCCCACTTGAAGAAGCTGCAAGGACAAGCATTTTATCAAAAAATTGGAGGTACAGATGGACCAAAATGGGGGCACTGGCTTTTGATGAGCAGTTCTTCAAAAAATATGCAAAAAATGGAGCTTTTGGTCGTAATGGGTTTATAAGGATCATAAACAAAGTCTTGATCCTTCATAATGGTCCTATCTCAAAATTTCTTCTCCATATACCAAATATGAATATGTTTCTTGATTGCTTCGAAGAAGTCGATCAATGGATGCTACTCTTATCAAGAAACAGAGTCAAGGAACTCATTCTTACTAATTCAAATCAACGTTATCAACTTCCTTCTTATGTGTTTTCTTGTCTAGAATTGACAAAGTTGAAAATGAAAAACTGTTTCTTTAAGCCACCACTTAATTTTGAAGGATTTCTCAATCTTAAAGATCTTAATCTCCGATGTATTGACTTTGGGGCTAGCTTGTGTGGAACTCAGATCAACTTACCACAACTTAAGAAGTTGTCTCTGCATAAGTGCACAAATGTTTACAATTTCAACATTAAGGCTACAAAATTGGAAAAATTGACTGTCATTGCTTGCCCTGATACTATATTGACCACAATGTTAAGTAACATGACCAAAATTAAATGTTTTTTCGTCGATGCTCAGTTTCTCAAGGTATAATTCTCATGTCGTTTTGAAGCCTTTCTCTTCCTCAAAAGAAGCATTGTCATTTAATCTAACTTGCACCTCATAGATTTTTACTGCAGAAAATATTCCAAAGTGGGTTCCACAACCGATTAATAGCTTAACGAGGTTGTGGTTCCAAAAATTTCAACTTGGTGACTTGCATCAACTTAATGGTGCTCTTTGTTTGCTTCGGAACTCACCAAATCTAAAGACACTAGGGATGCACTTGGAAATGGTAAAGTAAAAGTATATTTATTTTCCTTGTGTTATATAAGAGGTGGATGCTAAAGTGCATTTGCATTTTTATGTTATTCCAGAAAAATGGAGATAACGTAGGACCCGCTTCAAGTATTTTGGAATCTCCAAACTGCTTGGATATATCGAATCGATTGCAAACTGTGAAGATAGAATGTTTACAAGGATCAAAACCCGAACTGCTTTTTGTAAAACTTCTTCTTGCTCATTCCTCTTCTCTACGGAAGTTTACCATCACACCAAGTCGAAGTCTTGATGTTAAAAAAATACTTGACATCTCAAAGGATGTTATGCGGTTCTCTCGAGCATCACCAAAAGCAGAAATGATCTACTTGAATCCAAAGCCATAATTTTGTGACAATGTTTAACATTGAAAATTATGGGCGTATTTGTTTTACGCAAACTGATATTTTGAGTTTTGAATGGAAGCTAAGTCTTACACTTTAAACCAACGGTAATGGTTTTGACTATAAGGTGTTTGGTTTTGTTAATGAGAAAGGTCATAGAATATGGAGTGTCGGTGAATAGTAATGCGTATCCCACTATTCCTATCGGAAGTAATTAGAGAAAATTACAAAAATACCTGTATAACTTAATAAATTTTAACGATATTGCCACAATTTCTTTTTTGTGCCAAAAATGGTTCCCCATATTTAAGGTATTTATTTTCCAGAAATTTCTTCAATTTCCATAGTAAGGTGCATATCGAAATATTTCTTAATCATAATGCAAAACTCTAAACTCTCTAAAAATGTTATCTAGTTTACAAATATGGATATGGGATTATTAGTTAAAAAAAGGTAAATGATACAAAAAACACTTTTTTTACACATAAATTCGATTATGACATCGTGTTTTTTTGTATCAGTTTTGACACTGTGTTTTCCAATTTGTTACAATTCTAACCACTTGAGTGGTTAACTAGGTTGCATGCTGACATATCAGTTTTGATGACGTGGCATGCTGACATGATATGCTGATGTGTTAAAATTGAATTTTTTTTCTACAAAAAACACTAAGTTTTCATTTTTTTTTTTCGATTTTGACACTAAGTTTAATTTTTCTTTCAACTTTGACACTATGTTTTTTTGTTTTAAATCGAACATCATTTTTTCTAATTTTGTTCAATGTTGACAATTTTCTATTTGAAATCATATAAATATTTTTTTAATACATTTAAACCGTATAAATATGTTTTTTTTTTTCATTTAAAACATAGTTTTGTATAAATACATTTTTTTTACACTCAAACCATATATTTATGTATAAATATGCGTTAGTTATATAAAAATTGTATTTTATATTAAATATGCAACTTTAAAATGTGTTTGGAGGTTTGGAGGCGTGTAGTCGATCAAAACTCGGATATCAAGTTTGCAACCCATCAAATTTTTACGTCTTATTAGAAGCTTATGGTTAGTTTGATTCCCATGATACTAATGCTTTGAATGTAAAAAAAAAAACACCTTGTTTTTAAATAAAAATGTGGTTTTTAAACGAAAAAAATATATTTATACGGTTTATAATGTAATAAAAAAAATTATATTTATATGGTTTCAAATGGAAAATAGACAAAACTGAACAAAATTTGATAAATGATGTTCGATTGGAACAAACAAAACATAGTGTCAAAATTGAAATAAAAAATTAAACTTAGTATCAAAATCGAAAAAAAAGTGAAAACTTAGTGTTTTTTGTGGAAAAAAAAAAATCAATTTTGACACGTCAGCATGTCACGTCATCAAAACTGACATGTCATCATGTAACCTGGTTAACCGGTCAAGTGGTCAGAATTGTATCAAATTGAAAAACACAGTGTCAAAATTGACATAAAAAAAAAACATGGTGTCAAAATTGAATTTCTGTGTAAAAATTGATTTTTTGGATTTTTTATTTTTTATTTGGTTTTTAAAATTTTTAATTTTTAATTCTCCCCCTTAAATTTGTGCATAGGGAAAACTATGTACAAATTTAACAAAAACAAAACAGAAGCTAAATTTAAGACTATTTTGGGATAAAAGTTGCTTGGCAATCCAATATCGTTTTTCTGCACACACGTGCATGTGTGGATCTGGTCAAAAATTCTCTCTAGTTTCTCTCTTGGCTGTACACTCCTTACTGTTCATCAACCTCTACTCCTCACCCTAACACCTATATATATACAAGGGAATATGGGCTTGGTACACATGGGCCGTAATGGGTTTACGGCCGTAAACACAGCTGTAAACACGTATACGACCGTAAACACCAAGTTGTTTATGGTCCAAGACACAAAAATACATTTTCTAGAAAACTAAAATATAAACCATATTTTGAGCCAACAATCTCCCCTTGGTTTATAGCTTTCTTTTCTTAAATGACACAAAAAGCTCCCCCTAAAAAGTAGCTGGCTTTTCTTGTTAATCTTCACTGGAATATTAGCTTCAACATTTATCTTCAAGTTCTTCACAACTTCAAGATGTACTTGATGAATCTTCAATGAATGACTTCATCTTGAGCACTTGAGCTTTACTTCAAGATTTGACTCTGAATGCACATTAGGTGAGGAGGCTTCTTGTACTGATTCTTGAAAGATGGTGCTTTCAGCTTGAGAATCCTCAGAGGGAACATTAGAGAGAACAAATCTTCTGGATCACTTTAGCAGGCAGCAGACTGATTGAGGAGGCTTCAATGCAATCCGTCACATAATCTTCAATTTCTGCTTAACCTTGCTTCTGGGGTTGAAGGATTGAATGTTGAAATAATAATCTTCATTTCTTGCTCCTTCGAATGAGAATTCTTCGATGCTCACGGACGAAGCCTTGGCTCAAAAATCTTCGACACAAACTCCATGAGTGTCATCTTCACCTGAATTCACTTTTCAAGACAAAACAAAACTAAAAGAAAATTTAGCACACAATATTTTTGGGTTTTTCATATTTTCTGAATAAAAAATAAAACATAAACAAAAGTATTTAAGTTATTGTACCAGGTGGAAGTGCTTTTAACCAGTCTTTTCCAGCTCCCTTGAAAGTAACTGGTAGCATCCTTAGCAAGACAATATCTCTGTTAGCATTTGGGACATTGAAATAGTTTGCAATGTGATTGACTTCATCTAAATGCTTAAAAGAATCCTCGTGATCCTTTCCATAAAATTGAACATCCTTCAGTGCATTAAGAATATGCCCCTTCAGCTCAAATGTGGCAGTGGCGGGTATTTCAGGTTGTACTAACCCCGGACCAACATCGTATTTGATTCGCTTTTTGAAAGCTCCAATCGACATCTCTTCAATGTTTGCCATCTCGTTTCTGGCTCGTTCTCGGGTTCACTCGTATATAGTCCAAACTCAGTCTCAGATTCGTATTCAGATTGTTTGGGTTAGGAATTGGATCTAGGCTTTCAACTTTGCTCTTTTCATTTGAAGATGAGCTCGACTCTCCCCTTTTCTTCCCTGACTTCTTTGAAAATACCGACTTGAGTTCTTGTAAAGGTGTCTTCTTTGGTGTTTGATCTTCTTTCACGTTCTTATCCTTCTTTTTGTGAAGGCCGACTCTGGATCTTCAAGTGGTGGTACCAAAGGTGTGTTAAATCCTCTGGTCATTAACTTCTGCAAAATAAACAAAACAAAAACATAAAACTAAACAAACTAAACAAGAACAACCTACTAACTAGCCACCGCGACATGGTAAAGGTCACCACCTCGTGTTGTCGCAGACAAACTAACAAAAAAGAAAACCAAAGAAAAAGTAAAAACTACTGAACTCACATCGTGAGCTTAAGGCTCACGTCGTGAATCTAGTACTGAAACAAAAACCTAAGTTGAAAAAGTAACTTTTTGCAGGTTTTACCCCCACAAAAAGGATCTATCAACCTAAATCAAATAAATCAACAATCAAATAAGTCGTTCCCCGACAACGGCGCCAAAAACTTTGATGCATGCAAGTAGCTACACCTAATTTTAAATTTATAACCTGTTAGGTTTTCTACGCATCAAATATACTCTAAAACTAGGCAGCAGAAAAATTGAAACAACGATATACCTTAGTGTACATGCATCCTATGGATCTATGGTTTGATGCTAGTTACATCAACCATAGAAAACTAAAACATAGGTAAGAAAACATACATCTTACGTAGCCCTTGATCTCCATGCTTGAGATCTTGAACCTCTATGAAGTTGCTTGGATGAAAGGATCCAAACCAGAATCCCTCTAATGGTATCACACCCAATGACACCAAAGAGTGAAATAAAAATAAGTAGGAGAAGGGTCAATTTCACAAACCCAAAGGGGTTAGAAATCGTCCCTAAAAGGGGAAGGAAGAAGGGTTGGCGAATACTTCAAGCCAAGGTGCCAGGAGGAATGAAATCCCAAAGGCCCTATTTATAGCCTTGGATGCATCCTAGGGTTTTGTACTCCTTCCCATGTGGGATGGAGGCATAACCACGAAATTTCACTCCTTTCTCATGTGGGGTGGAGTGAATTTCATCCAACCCTAATTCCATAAGGGTTCTGGAACATTCATGATTAACAAACTATCAATTAATGAACATTCAACCCTTTAATTAATTAAATTGTTAATTAATTCCCATAATATATTTCAAAAATATAATTCTAATTATTTTCTAATTAATTACTAACCATAATAATTAATAAACCAATTTCTCCTTTATTTATTCTACTCCATTTGGGTCTTGAGGGCAACCTAAAAGGACCCTGCTATTATTAGAAATATTACCAATAGTTAATGACCATGGACACTATTCCAATAGTCTCCTACTTGGACAAGCCATCAACTATACGGGGACTAATATTTCTCCAATAATCAGCAGATAGTTAGCCATCCAATGCAACTACCGAACTCTTGATCTAATCAAGATTCATCCTTTAGATAAGTGATCAACTATCCCTTCGTTCTATCATATCTGTATGAATTAGAGACATAGATAATGGTCAATCTCAGAATTCAAGATTATGTTTCCCGATATAGATTTGTGATGAATGCATCTGACTACTAAATTGAACACATCAATACATAGTTATCGCTTCTCCTGTTAAGGCAGAAGGAACGAATACACTTCGAATACATAGTTTTTGTCTATTTCATCATGTCACACATGCATATACCCTTTATAACTACCAGTTACGGTTAGCGTTGGAGTAGTCCAATGCATAAGAGAATCATAGAGAAAAACCCCACATGTATCTAGGTTTGAAGAATAGAAGATATTATTGTCTTAGAATTAGTCTTGACTGAATCCATGAAGTAATCTCTAAGTGTGGGTTGGTCCAATACTTAAATCTCTATTAAGCACTCATGAGTGTTAGCGCAATCTCTTTGCTATGTCCAATCAATATGGACAATCCACTA